GGTCCTGCCCAACAGCTAGTTTTCTAGCCGTTGGATAGGGTTTGGCCTGGCCTAGACCCTATCCAATTCGAGCTAATAAAATAGCTAATAACGGCTATTTTGGTCAAATGATCAAAATACCCCCAAAAAGATCAAAAAACTAAAATTTGAGGGTATTTTGATCATTTTGCTAGAGGGCTACCTTTATAAATAGATGGGTTATCATTTATTTTGTTATCCAAAACTCATCTACTTTTCTCTAATACTCTCTTATTCTCTCTAATACAGTATTATACTCTCTTATTCTCTCTTATACTCTTCAATACTCTCTAACTTTCTAATTCCAGTAGCATTCTCCTCTGATTATGAAGGGCAAAATCCAAATCCCGACACCGTAATGAATCCCACTACTCCTACAACTACTCCTACCGATGTTAATCCCGAATCCAGTGGCAATGATCTAACACCTAGAGCTCCTAAAAGGTCAAGATCCGATATGTGAAATTTCTTTAGAAGATAGAGTCACCAAGGATCAACACGGCAAGCTTCACACCTAACAGGCCAAATATGAGTTATGTGGTCATATCTTTCATGCTCATCATAAAAGCGGCACCAACCACCTCAAACACCATTTAAAAAAATACAATAGAGCGCAGGCAACGTCTCAAGGAGACATCTGTCAATCTCTACTCTCTCAATCATTTACTTCCGATAACCTTAGTTCATGGAACTATAACACAATTAAAGTTAGGAAATGCACCATCGGGTTTATTGTTCTTTAAAACCATTCTTGTAAATTAGGAGAAGATGAATTTGAAGATATGATTAGAGATGATTTTGATCCCGTATTTTAAAAATTTTCTCATCAATCTTGTCAACATGATATTTTAAAATATTATCAAGAAGAAACAATTTCTTCTTTTCAAAGCTTAAACTATAAATTTTCTCTAGCTTCTGATATTTGGACATCTAGAGCACAAACTAGTTACTTATGTATGCCCACTAGCATGATGACAAATATTTAAAAGAGTTATTTTTTTTATTTCATTGAAGATTCACACTGGTGTAAATGTTGCAAATTTAATAATGGAAGAACGTTCAAAATTAGAAATTCCTGAAAAAATATGTTCTCTTTCACTAGATAATACAAGTAATAATAATGTAGCTATAAATCATATCAAATCATCTTTCCTATTACCATGCCGAGATGATATTTTTCATATTAGATCCATGTGTCATATTTTAAATCTAATTGTTCAAAGTGCATTTAATGAAATTAAACTAATGATAGAAAATCTTAGGGTTATAACTTATGCTCATAATACTTCTGAATAGTGACTTAAAAGATGGGAATAATTGTGTAGAAGAAAAATTTAAAACTTAGGTTAATTCCAAAAGATGTTGGTCACATGTGAAACTCTGCTTATGCAATGTTAAATATAGCAATAAAATATAAAGAAATTATAAATAATTTTATTATTTTTTATACTTCTAGTTCTAGCTCTGGTAATATGTACGGAACAACTAATGATGAATAGGTAATTATAAGTTGTGTAAAAGAGATGCTACAAGTTTTTTATAAAGTTACTATGTTATTATCTGATTGTTATAATTCAACTATTACTTAAGCTGCTTTACAAGTTTTAAATATTTAAACTTTTTTTAATACTTATCGCATGGATAATTATTTTTCAAACATGATGTTTGAATGGAAAGTAAATTTAATAAGTATTTTAAAAATATTTCTATTATTTTTGGTTTGGGGAATTCTTATTGATCCATGCCTGAAGGATATTGACCTTCAAAGTTTGTTAAATTCTTTGTATAAAAACATGATAATAGTAGTGGTTAGACTATTATGGTTTTTATTCATCATAACACTATTAAATATTATCTTCAAAGATTATTTGATGAGTATGCAGATAGATATGGTGTAAGTACACCTCAACCTACAGCTTCTACAAGCTTAAGACGAGGCAAAAGTAAGCTATTTGATAGGCAATCGATGATAGAGAGGCTAACTGGTAATAGTCGTGGATCTAGATCAGGATTATTATCAAGGAAAATTTCTAAAATTGAACAATATTTAGTTGCACCTTTAGTTAAACCTCAAAATAATGTTGATTTTGATATTTTGCAATGGTGAGAAGTATATGAACAGTTTCATATCCTATATTTTCCATCATAACTCATGACTTGCTAACAGTTTCATATCCTACAAGATCGGTGGAGGTACGAGAAGAGAACTCAATGCATGGACTGGATAGCTAGCATTGACGATAGACTTAAGAGTTGACGATTGGAGATAAAAATTAGAAAAACAATTTGTATTTGGCTAAATAGCACTTAAATACCTTATAGTTTCACTCCTTTAGCGTTTATATACCTCAGTTGTATTTTGTAGCATTTATATACCCTTTGTTGGTCAAAAATTATAAGTTAATACCCTATATTTTACAAACATAAAAAATTTTATCCGAAAGTTTTCATATAATATTCATATGCTCATTTTAGAGCTTTTTAATCGTTTATATTGATTACATTACTATTAAACCTACCCAAATTATAATTTAAATGTATCACAATTGTATTTCAAAAATAGAAGTTCGAAAGATTTAACAATACATTCAACAAACTTATTAGAGAGAAAGTTATAAGAATAGCATATAAATATTTAATGGGAACTTTTAAATAGAAATTTTTACGTTAGCAAAACATAGGGTATTAACGTGCCAATTTTGACCAACTCAAGGTATATAAATGCTAGGAAATACAACTGGGGGTATATAAGTGCTAAGAGAGTGAAACTATAAGGTACTTAAATGCTATTTAGCCATTTGTAATTTGTAACTTTTATTTTTTAACTGTAAATCTATAATAAATTATTTCGAAAAGAGTTACAAATGATAGTGATATAGATGAGTAGATGTTAAACTAGTAGGGATGTACTCATCTATTATGATAAATTTATTTTTTTCTTGAATGTAGATTGGGCATGATCTCTAGCAGATAAAAGATCAACCATAGGATATTGTGTATTCGTAGAGGAAATCTAGTTTCTAGGAAGAGCAACAAGCACAGTGTAGTTTCTCGATCTATAGCTGAATCCGAATACCAAGCCACGGCAAACTAACCTTTGAGCTTATCTGGGTTAAGAGATATATAGGGAGAAATTGGTTTTCCATCTAAATGTTCAATGAACTTATATGGAGACCATAACGATGTCATTCACATAGCTGAGAATCCAAAATTTCATGAGAAGACAAATCACATAGAGATTGATTGTCACTAGAATCGTGAGAAGATAGAGAACGGGATCATTAGTGCCAAACATTTTTCTTCAGAGCATCAGTTTGCAGATATTCTTACAAAATATCTTGTGAGAGCACGAGTGATCTTTATTTGTTATAATATATTTGCTCATTCTGAGGCGGAGTGTTGAGAGTCTTTCCCTGTATTTAGTTTAGTCTCACATTGATATTAGCGTCAAATTATGTTGTAATCCTAATGCTATTAATAAGTCTTGAGAGGGGAGAGAGAGAGAGAGAGAGAGACAAAAACATCCTCTCTGATTAGGGGTGGAAATGAACCAAATAATTAACAAATAGTTCGATAATTGTTCGAAAAAGTATTCGGTCATATTCGATTCGGTAGTTCATTTACCACTAAACAAATATTTTTTAGTATTCGAGTTTACTAACGAATAGAATTTAACCAGATGTATATTCGATTCGTTTGTCTATTAAATATTCGTTTAAAATTTGATCACATCATATTACTTGTATTATTGCACATATGATGTCATATTTTTAACCTACATACCATTTCTACTTGAGCTTTATATCCTGATTTTAAGACTTAAATAATCTTAAATCTGTTTTCTAATTAAAATTTTGATTTAAATATATATACATCATATATTATAAAGGAATAAATTTTATTTATGAATTCAAATACTATTTGAAAATCAAATTCTTTAGCGGAATAAATATACTTTGATATTCGATAAGTATTCGTGAATATTCATGAATATTTATCAAATACCAAGTATTCGAGTTCGAATTCGAAAAACTAGATATATGAATTTTAGAGTCCAGATTCGAATTCGATAATTTTAAACAAATACAAATACGAACATCTTAGTATTCGATTCGATTCGATCGTTTACCACCCCTATCTCTGATTACCCAGTTAACACAAGTATAATACCCCAAGGTGCGGTGGCAAATCATAATCATGTCTTGTTCTGTCCATGCAGACACTTAAAGCACGCATCAACCTAAGAATCTGTATACCAAACCCTCACTTTAGTATTTTAACTCACAATGTAAGTTTTTATCCACGTACCACTAGCAGGTCAGCTTCTACAACTTCTTCGAGGGTGGCGCGAAATGCTTCTACTAACTGCAAATAAGTTATTATCAAGCGTCATTGAAGAAAAAATTATGGAGAATTTTTTTAAAGATAATGTTAAATGAAAGGTCTTCAGATTACCTGTATAGGCAAGTCTGAAATAAATCCTACAGTATCGCTAAGAAGTACTTTCCTCCTGAACACAGCATCGGACTATAAAAGCCTTCCTAAGNAAAATAAGATAAGAAATAAAAATAATTAAAAGGCCTTCTAGAGAGTTACCCTGATGGCAGAATTACCCTTCTTAGTCGAGGATCCACTGTTGCAAATAATCTGCGAGATAACTCATGCAGTGGTTCGAAAGAAAACATTATAAATCACACATTCAACTGTTGTAACTTCATAGTACTTCTGAGCAACAGAACCATGCCTCAATTAGGATTTCTTAAGGAAATATGGATTGTGGTTAAAGAAGTACCTGTCATCACTATATACATCACTTTTTGAAAGGGTGCTGGCTAGAGTCGACTTCCCCTGCAGTATATAAATATATACTTATATCAAAATTTGGATGTCAGGACAGAAAAAGCTAATGAGATTCTCAGCAGCATAGCCAAAAATGTGCTTGAGTTCATAAAAGGAAAACAAAAGACCTTGCATTATAACCTAAAATAACTGTACTACTAACTATGAATAGTACAAATTTCTGGGGAAACTACATACAGCATTTGTATAACCCACAATACCAACTGTGGCCAGGCCTTTGCCATGTGAATCACCATGCCTTTTTCGAGCAGACCGTTGTATAGCACGAGTTCGGCGAACGTCTTCAATTTGTGATAGTAAATAGTTCCGTCTCTCATGAATTCTAAAAGAATAAAAGAATGAAAGAAAATGATTGAGACAGTTGAGCACCAAACAACACACAAGAAAGAAGCACCTTAAACATCTATGCAGAAACAGAATTTATAATTGCTTTTTTTTAATGGCACATCAAGTTAACTGTTTGAAATAAATAGCAAACTCTTATGTGAGAACCTCCATGAATAACTTATTTAAGGTGCTATATTGTAAGATGGTTTTACTCTATGTTGCATGGACACTTCTATCATGAAGTTGTACCCATACGCGATACTTCCTATAATAGTATTATGGACACTCCTTGAATATATGAATACATTTCACACGTGTATACTACATGCTTTAACTTCACATCCACTTTCTAGAACTTGTTGAAGGGTTCAGTTAATTTCAGCAGATACCTAGTCTAGAATAATGATTTTAGAGGATTTGTATGCATATCTAGTTCAAAAATGAGAGTTTCCGATTTCTAATGTACATAATAAAGAAACATAAATTTTGATTCTCATAACATTTGAATGAAAAAAACAATACTGATCTCACGTAAACTATCTATACTATTATAAAAAAAGGACTGGGGTGTTAAAACTTTTAATTTTTTTTTCCCTCTCAAATTTTGATAAATTCTAGCTATGTCATTATCTCTAATTAATCAATCATTAAATAAATATAACTTATTAATTATGAACCTCCTCACCTTCCTAAATAATTATAATTATCAATAATATTATAACTACTAATTGTTTAAAAATAATATAATAAAATAATTTACAAAATAAGTATACACAATTATTAGTAGTAACCAATTAACTTAAATTATTATAATAATTATTTATAAATTATAATAAAATAATTAAAATAATAGGATATAAAGAATAATATATTACTAAATACTATTAAGAATTATACTATAATCTATTGATCAATAAAATAAATAGAATAAATATTTAATCGCATAAATAGTGTAATTATTTTAATAACATCACATAAATTATGAATTACACTATTTATTTAGTATTAGATTATTACATAAATTGAATAAATAATTTAAGATTATTTTTTGAGTATTTGATCAAAGATTATTACATGATACTGAATAATCTATACTTGGTAATTATTGAAAGCTAACCTTTTAAATAAATTATTTGATATTAATAATAGTACTATGATTGTTAATGATAGTATAATAAAAATTTATAAAATATTTATAGTACTAAATTATTTAAGTGCATAATTAAAAAACTAAATTAGATAAATATTGTATAGTATAAATATAGTATAATTATTTTAATATTATTACTTGAACTAAGAATTTTAATATAAAATAAGGTAAACTACAGTCAACCCCCACGAACTTTTAGCATTTGTAGCAAATAGACCCTATGAACTTTCGAAATCACACTAAACCCCTAATAACTTTTGTAGAAAGCCCCAATATCTTTTAAATAAATTACACCAAACCTCCAACGACTTTCAAAATGCCTTTTTACACCATTTTCTGGTTCTAATTTATAAAGGTTATCTGCAAAATTTAGAAAGTTATTGAGGGTTTTCTTTGAAACAGAAAAGTCATTAGGGGTTTAGTGTGATTTTGAAAGTTCATAGGGGCGAAAAGTTTATAAAGGTTTAGTGTAATTTACCCTATTAAATAATTATAATGAGAAGTAACTACTGCAATATGTTGCAGGTATTAAGTGTAACCATGTAGGAAACATCAGGAAAAAGCTAGCAAGATTAATGCAACTTAGTTAATTTAGAATTAAGTTAACAACTTTCAAGTTGGAAGGGCATATTTACGAGAACTTATAAATTTGGCATCATTTAAGAATAATCTTAGATTTGGGGAATTATTTAAAAAAAAGTTAGCACTAGACGAATCGTTATAAGAAAAACATTCAATTACAATAACTACACAATAATAATTAATTTATATAGTTCTTTTTAAGCAATCTTATCATATAATTTTATTTATTAACACATAGTTTAACTATTTGATAAAAAACTTTAAAACTTAAAACATCTACATTCATGTGCAAAGCACGTGCATTATACTAGTTAAGTTAAATATACATACAACCATGTCAGTGTACCACTCCTCTACAAATTTCCTCTCTTCTACCCCTACTCGTGCAAGATGGGTTTTACTAAACCAGATGAGCACGTCTTCCTAGGAAACCAACATCTGTCTGATCAGCTAGTAGAATTAAGTTTCCAAGAAGTTTTGGCTATTGCAACAATTAAGGAATATATACAGGTATTTTCTAAAAATTTGAAGTTGTGCATTATTCATGTTTTTTATGCATTGGTGTGGGGCTGCATATCATATCATGTGTATGAAGCAAACACAACTCTGATCTTTTAAGCATCTAGGCCTTGCAAGATACTAGAACAGTTTATCTCGAATTGTTTTTTATTGCTTTCCTTTAAATTTTACCAGATAGCTCCACACAAAGAATTTCAGTCAAATATGAAATGAGCTAATAGATGTATTATGGAAATCTTCAAATTACTTGTGCATACCAATATTATATTTGGCAGACTATACTAGACAAACAGAATATAAGGCATGTACAATCAGATTGCAAGCAGGTACTATCTAGAAGCAGTAAAAATACCTTCGGCGTTGAAGCTGCAGTTCAGTTTCTCCAGCACCACTGATAAAACCACGCCCACCACTGCCTCTCCTGAAGAATAAAATGTTGTCAGTGAGATATCTGGCACAAATTTAAGGCAAAAAGGAAAGAAAAAATCTTCTACCTTCAAATGACTGAGTAGACAAAATTTTAAAGGCCTCAATTTATTTTAGCTAAAAATGATTTATGATGAGGAATACTATTGAATTATTACAATGAGTTATAATAATTCTGGTTTGTATGTTGCTCAAGATAGACTTGGCTATTTCTGAAAGCATATGGTAGACCATTCAATTGGAAGGTCCACTCTATGTCGTACCCAAAATACCAAGTATTTGAGAATATTTTCTATCATACATCAATCAGACACAACATAAATGGCTGAAAATAGAATGCAGCTTGGATATATGGTTTTGAACGTACAAAGTCCTGATCCAACTGTTTGATTCTGAAATAAACATCTACAATCCTTGCGCACCAATTTTTGGTAGGTCTCACATATTTCGGACTATTAAGCTAAGGAAGCCACTCTCAGTGCTGATCATTTTATGCCTACTAGATGCCAAGACATCAAAAACTTGAAATACTTCAATTTTTATTTAAGTGCTAAAACAGTCTGATCAGCGTGAACAGATTGGATTTATATTCTAGTTTTTCTATCATCAAGCTTGAATTGGAAGGATTTGCTTCCAAATCCTTCAGCAAGGAGACAAGTCCTTTCCATGTTGCATCTGTGGGAATGTATACCTTAACTTCTTCCATTCTCATATAAACTCACTAGTCTAAAACACACAGCTAAATAAAACCATAGAGGATAAGTTGAACTTGTGCGCACTTTTTCTAAACCAATAGATAACATCAATCCTAGGTATAGAACATATGCATCTGCTTCTCATTTATGCATGTTAGATGCTTCTGTGACATGTACAAGCTATCTTTGAACAACAGTTACTGAAGAAAAAAATAAATAGATGATAATTGTCTAGTAAGTAGATATTAAATGCATCAAACTCACCCCCGGGCACTAACAACTTCAGCCTCTCCACTGGTTCCAAAGGTAAGGCGACCACCTGGACCACGCACCCTCACAAGTCTACTCCTCTTATACATGAGAGCTGCTAATTCTGCCTGTAGCTTTGCTTCTTTTGTCTCAGCATGAGCGTTGAATATCTCTATTATAAGGCCAACACGATCTAATACTGGTTTTTTCCAAGCCATCTGCCAAATGGTGAAAATAGATGATCAACAGAACAGTTAGTCATTAGTTCATATACATACAGGTACTAATCCCACAGATAACATATGTACTGATAGAACTTGCCTCCAAATTACGCTGCTGAATCCCAGAAAGAATCGTGTTAACAAAAACTGCATCCAGACCTTCCTGTTAAAACCACAATTCAGTTTGCCAACAAGGCAACAAAAGAAGAAAGAGAAAGGAAAAAAAAAGGTTTGAAGCTTAGAAGCATAAATCAGGTTACTGCAATTATACCAACTAAAAGACTTATATGTAGGGGTGCCAAACCGTATCCATATCCGAGGAAATATCTGTAACTGTGTCCATTAGAATACGAATATAGTTACTCAAATACATAACCGATAGGATATTGTTACAGATATGGTTTTGTAGTGAAATATCTGGATCTATATCTGAAACATCCAAATACATATTGGTCATACTGTTACAATAGTTTTACTTCTTAGATTATGGATTTGAGATTAATTTTTGATGATCAAGATCTCTAATCTTAGCTTTTCAGACAATAACAAACATATTAAAGAACACTTTTGTCCACATAGTCTATATTTTTTTCAACAATATCTAATTTTCTCATATCTATTTTTTCCCGCATGCATATCCACTTATACATCCACATGTATATTTATATCCATATCTGATTTTAGTGGATACGGATATGAATTTTCCTTATTGATGTATATTCGTAACCGTATCAGTATCCGTGATCGGTAGGCGGATATGGATATGGTAAGTATCATATATGAGCCGTATTCAGAACGAATCCATCCTTGGTTATACGTCAAAAGGTATACAACGAAGGGGCACAGAGCAACCGATGCTTGATGGTAAAGAAATAGACAACAAGAAGATACCAGCAAACAACTAGCTCGGGCAACTTGGTTAGATGAATATGATAGAGTAATCATACATTCATGATTTGAGCAGCGCCAATAAATCAGGAATTTTCCTTGCATTTACATGGAGAGAGGATGGGGCTTCCCACCTTTACCCTAAAAAAAGAAAGAAAGCAACTAATAGACGAGGAAAGTCAAAAGTCCTAATTCAAGCAAAAGACTTAGTTCTTGACTACAGTTCCTTTTAATCTCATCTGCCAATACAAGCATTATAAATGATGGATATTGGGAGCATGTTAGATGGGAAAATTCTAAACCGAATGGAGGATAGCAAGGATATGGCAGAGATATTTAATAAATATCGTGGTGTCATCTCGTATAATGTAGTGTACATTTCATACTTCATGCACCAAGGAATGAAGCTATGGAGAAGGTGGTATCATTTGTAAAACTCTTGCAAGAGAATATGGTCTCAATTGAGCCCTAATTCTTCTTTCTAGTTATTTACAAAAACAGATATTTGTTTGGTTTAGACCTCAATTGAAGCATAAATTCAAAGTAATATTTTAAAACAAATAAAACTTCAAATTGACATTCCAAAATTTATGTAACTTTTTTTGGCCAAGTGTCACACGATATAACATGAAAATCATAATATATCACCTAGAAATCGCAAAAGGAGGAAAAGGATATTGAGACCATATCGTTTTGCGACAAGCCTTAGGACATACCAACCGACATCTACTAAGGCCGACAACTTCATCCGCTTGACAACCATGCCAGAAGGGAAGGAGAAGAAGGTTCTTCCAAATAAAACCTTTGGTGAACATTCTCTTGAGAGTTCCCACCAAATCTCAAAACAAAATCCTCTTTTTGTTCCTTTTTTTATTTATTGGCTTGTTTAGGTGGAGGGTAGAGAGGGGGAGGGGAAGAGAAATCTAATTTTAATCTTGTTTGGGAGTTCCATTTAGAAGGGTAGAGGAGGGGAATTGGAGGGGGGAGGGGAGAATTTGAGCCAAAATCTTACACCCCAATTTGGGGTGTAACGAAGGGGAAGGGAAGGGGAACTTTTCCCCTTCCTTCCCCTTCCTTCCCTTCCCTAAGTCAATCTCCCAAACACACTGATAATAGGGAAACAAAAACTCTATCGCATGAATGATCACTACCAAGAATTGCAAATGATGAAAACCATACCTTTGATTCCAATGCCCTTAAGTGAACTTTGATATTTTCCATAGTTCCAGGTCCAAAGTATGTATCTGCCACAAGCACAATGCAAAATCCATTAATCTAGTTACATCAAGAGATTTGGTTTAGCAAAGGACAAGCTTTTTGAATAGACTCGTTTTATAACTTATTCCAAAAATTTGACCCACTTCAATTTTATTTATAAAATTCGACTCAGTTTCAACCACGTCAACAGCACTGGGTTGAAATAGGGTCAATTTAAATAAAAATAATGTTTTCTAATTCGTCGGGATTGGCAACTCCATCTAATTAGAAGATCATTAAAACAAACGGGTTAGGCAAACCCGTTTATTTTGAATAGAAATCAAAATAGTTAGGATTGCTAACCCCTTTTTTTAAATAACCCCTTCTATTTTGAACTATGTTCAATTTGGAGCCATGTTCAAAATTGAAGGGGTTGGAACCCCCTGAGTATTTTGAATAACGTAACCTTTTGTTCTCTATTTTATACACGGGTTTCTAAAACCCATTTATATTTAAGAACTTAATTAGCTCTTCACTAGTTAGACAGGGTTGCCACACCATCTAATTAGTAAACTTTATTTTTTTTTAAATTGACCCAATTTCAACCAGTGATGCTGACGTGGCTGAACCCGGGTCAATTTTTTAAATTAAATCTCAATAGGAAAAATTTTGGGGAATAAGTTGTTAAATGGGTCTATTTTAAAAAAGGCTAAATGACACTTAAATACCTTATAGTTTCACACTATTAGCACTTATATACCTCAATTGTATTTCGTAACATTTATATACCCTAAGTTGGTCAAAATTGGCATATTGATACTCAATGTTTTGCAAACATGATAATTTTTATTCAAAAGTTCCCATATAATATTTATATGCTACTCTTATATTTATTTCTCTATTAATTTTGTTGAATTCATTGTTAAATCTTTTAAAATTCTATTTTTGAAATAGAATTATGATGCATTTAAAATTAGAATTTGAGTTGGTTTAATAGTAATTTAATAAATATTGATGGTCAGAAAGCTCCAAAATTAACATATGAATGTTACATGGGAACTTTCGAATAAATATTTTCACGTTTGTAAAATATAAGGTATTAAAGTGCCAATTTTAACCAACTAAGGGTATATAAATGCTACAAAGTACAATTGAAGGTTTATAAGTGCTAGAAGAGTGAAACTATAAGGTATTTAAGTGCTATTTAGCCTTTAAAGAATTTATCCTTCAGCAAACATCTTTGAGAGTGTGGTCTAGTTCCAAAGAATGTTCCATAATGGAGACATTCAACTTGCGTCTACCAAAAGCAAACGGAATGAAACAGGACGAGTATAAATCTGCTGTAGATAGATAACTCATCAAGCTGCATAAAAAGAGTAGTTCATCAGGCACATCACGCTAACTACTTTATAGCCAAAAAAGGGTATCTGCCTAAGCATAAGGTATTCTGCCTGGTTTCCTCTGTACTTGTATTCTGGCAAGTCTCAGCTGTTTAAATGAACACTAATATGTGTTCGTTTTTTTTTTCTTTTTTCCGCTTATTTATTCTAGTTTGTTTAGTGTAGAAAAGTGCATATAGACATAAATTTTTAAACAGGAATAAACCCCCAAAATTGAATCCACACACAACCCCTCTCAGTTAAGGCAAGTTCATAAAAGTCATAAAATTATTAAATTAGCGGATTAAATTCATAAACTTTGATCTTACATGTCTATGTAAGCAACATGTACAAAGTTATCATTTCTGAGGAAGTTGGGATTTCTGAGAACTGACCAGCCCTCAGGGATCTGGAGCTGGGATCCTGAACGACGAGATGTGGCGGCACCTCCTTGGACGCAGAGTCCTCCGCGTAGAATCCATCCCTCTGCTCCTCGAGAGAGTTGGCGAGGTTGAGAGCCTCGGAGAGCTTGGAGTGAAGGTAAAGCTCAGGGCGGAGGCGGGGCTGGACCACGAAGAGCCTCGGTGGGCCCTCTGGATCGCTGTTGAATAACGAGGAGGAGGAGGAACTGTCGGCCTTGTCTGCGTGACCTCCGTCCGTGGTGATATTTTGACGGCGGCGACTGCGGGAGGAGAAGGGGAAGGAGATGGGACGGAGGGAGATCGGAGGAGGAGGGGTTTTTAGGGTTTTGTGGATGCTTCTTAGCATTTTCTCTTCTGCGTCTTCTTTCTCTGATAACAAACTCCGGGGTTTTGGTGTTTTGGACGGGAGAATGCGAGAGGCCTTCTTCATCTGTGGGACTGGGCTGCTGGAGCTGGGTCAGATGCAATCGGTGTCTTATTATTATTGTTATTATATTTTGGGACAAATTTTCAAAACCAACCCCTTTCAACATTTAATCCCAAAAATCGACCTCTTTTACACTTAATTTCAAAAACCGACCTGGTTTCAGCCCTGGCGCTGAAACCAGATTAGTTTTTTTTTTTAAAATCCGAAACTTCACGGGAGTTCAACTCTCATGAAGTTTAGCATATTTTTAACAATCTGCTAAAACTTCACGGGAGTTGAACTCCCGTGAAGTTTTGTTGATTGAACAAACTTCACGGAAGTTGAACTCCCGTAAAGTTTTGTTGATTGAACAAACTTCACGGAAGTTGAACTCCCGTGAAGTTGTATTTGTTGAACAAACTTCACGGGAGTTTAACTCCCGAGAAGTTTGTAACATACCAAAAACTTCACGGGAGTTGAACTCCCGTGGTGTTTCAGTCCAATTTCCAGAGAGCCAACTCTCGGAAAATATTTGACTGCAACTCCACGAGAGTTCAACTCCAGTGGAGTTGCAGGTTTTAAAAAACATGCACAACAGCCTATGCATGTTCTGTACATAACGTACCTCATATACGTTATATTTACCTGTTAATAATAATTGATCTCATATACAGTGAATTACAACAATATATACATAATTCTACCATGAATTAAACACGAATCAAACAATATTCACAAAGAGTACATATATAAACAACAATTGATCCACAAAAAGTATAGTATTTGAAAATTCATAAAAGTTACAAATTTTGACAAAATAAGCTCACATACAACCCAAAAAATAAATCCTCTCCTTCCTCTAAGGCTACGAAGCACCGGCTACATCAGCATGCGAAGTGCTGGCTCCATCAGCATGCGAAGTATCCGGTTTTGTCTTCTTGATCCTGCTGAGGAGTCCTAACGCCACCGAATCCTGAATCTCAGGCATGTACGCATCAATATCACCTCAATGCTATCAAAAGCACGGATCTGCGAGGTAAACAATTTATTAAGTACTAACTCAATAAAAATGTTACAATGTTGCTTAGAAACTTACATAATCTCTCTCGATCATCCCACTAGGGATGTAACTATCTATCGGTGGGCGTGGCATGTGTCCAGCTGTTGGCTTTTGGGTCACGCGTGATCCATCTACGTGTGATATCCCAATACCAACGCATATACGCGGTATAGTCAACAGCTGTGTCTCTTGTATCGTGTATGAAATCTCACATGTGAGTCCACCTGTCTATGTAGACGGCACGAACTACGGCCCAGTTGGTACGGTGTGATGTAGGTCGTCGCCGACGATCGATCTACTCAACAGGCTCTAGCACATGCTGAGAGAGTAGAAATTGCCGTAGCACACAGTCGGGAACATGCATTTCCACAATCTCCCAACAGATCAATGGAACTCTGGCTCTCCACAAGTCGGGACTATCTCGATAGATAGGTGCAAGAGTATGCATATCGAGCTCTGGCGATGAATAGGGTCTCCACTTGAACTGAAATAAGATAAAACATTTATCAGTATCAACAACAAAACTATAATATTCATGATGAATCGAGTTTTATATTTACCTGTTCGTGTTGGAGGACATCAAGCTCATTTCGGTAAAACTCACGATGTCGCGTCGCTGGTTTGTAGTTAGCGTACCACACGTTATACCTATTTGGCATAAATAATATATGAGTTTAAATTCAGTTGAATAAAATTGTATGGACAATTATACATGTATGTCAAAGGAAACTGTCCATGTAAGTCGCGGTGCACAAGTAAAGTCGGTCTGCCAACAGAATGCACTCCCATGACCAAATCTGAATTAACGTGCAGCATCCCTTGAATTCTTTATTCTGCATTAAGGATACTCTACCCAGTTCTCTATACCTCAACCCAATTATGGTTTTATGTGGAGGCATCTGCTGGTATGTCAATTGAACGATACCGTAGTCTTTGGTGCCCCTCAAGTACCCAAAAAATTACTTGGTTCACCATAAAAGTTGAACAATAGATAATGAGTGATTTGCCAAAAGTGTTTAAAAAAACACGCAATGTTTTTGTCTCCTGAGCTCGTGCTTTTTCTCCTTACTAGTTTTTACACACGTGCAATGCACGTGATTTAATACCATGATTAAGTATTTTTAGCAGTTTGTGCTTATTTTTTTCTTTAAACTCTTACATCCCGATTATTTTTTTATGTTTGTTTAAATGAGATACACCCAATTTAAAATTTCATGTTGATATTTGAATTGACAAAAAACAAATATAATTTTAAAATAATTTTAATTTTCATATTATTTTTGACCGATATGAAACTAAGCTTTATTTGAGAAAGTATAGCATTGCAAAGTGAAAAATATTAAAATAGTGTTATACAAGGAAGGTGAATATTTAAAATCAATATGGCAAAATGATTGATTTAAAGTATGTTAAAACGATGCAAAAGAGAATATGAAGTTTATTCATAATCATTGATAGACTTCATAAAAAAATATAAATTAAAGATTAATGCTAACTCTAGTATACTTTTATATGATAAAAACATCCACATAAGAATATAAAAGTACTGAAAAAAATTCATGAAACTCCATTCTAAAGATTTCTAATTTCACTTAAAATAATTAAACTATTCTATAAAATATTCATAAAATATTGTTTTTATTTTTCTTCAATTTTATTTTTTATTGAGTTAAGATCAATCATTCTTCAGGTTTATCATTTATCATTTCTCGGACAATTCTAGAGTATTGTCTTCATCATCTACATCAATTGTGACATCAGGCTAATTTTATAGTTTTTATGCTATTATCTTTCCTGGGCTCGTTAATTTTTTATCATCTCATTTAACTTTACAAAGAAGTCAAATGTACTTATGATGTTCAACACAAACTGCTCAAAATATAGACTTTGATTTTTTTTCTATTTCAATGAGAATAAATATTAATTTCATATATATAAAATTCTTTGTGTTCCTAATTTATTACTTAAATAAATTAGAAGCTATCTCTTTATTTTCCTCTAAAATGAATTCTTCTGATGTGCATCCAATAAGAATTTCTGTTATTTCAATAATATTACCTTTGCTCTATCCCTGTCATTTTCCATAAAGATCTAAACTAAATACCTGCATTATTCATTACCAATTTCTCTTAGATTATAATATTAATATTTAATTTGAAGAACACAGTATGGAATTTATGAATACTTACTAATTTTTCTTATGTCTTCCATGGAGATTTTTTCTTTGATTAGGATAAAGTTATTAAATTATTTTTTAATGTAACTCATTCAGTGCTTCATTAATAGATATGTCTTATGTTAATGCCAATTCAAGTGATTCATTGACGTTTTCTGAATTTTAGATTTATTTCCATCACTTTCCCATTTGCAATGGAAATAACTCAATTCTTTTAAAGTTATCTCTAAATATTCTAATAGTTTCTCCATATGTAATTCCTTGTATTCTTTTACCCTATAAATATTATTAACGTCAAAGATTAAAGTTTCTAAATTAAAATCAATTAATGCTAAGGTATAATATTATAGTGTTTTATCATTTCTATGGATTTAAACATCTATCAATTAATGTTACGAATGTATTTTGGCTACCCCAACTTATTACTAAAATTATATGAAATTACTTTAATTTATATAGTGCCGATAATTTTTAATCTATAATATTTTTAAAAATTTTATCCATTAACCGGATGTTTTTAATCAATTCTTATTGTTTTTGTTTACCAGTATCAACTTAGACTATTCTTAGATGCTGAAAATGGATAGTAAATCCCTAAATTAGAAATTTTAATATATATATATATATATATATATATAGCGGTCTACCAATCGACGAATTTGATGTGTGCTAGTTAAAATTTTTGAAAATTTAGAGTTTTTTTTTACGATTTTTAAATTTTGAAGTGGTTTTTTAAAAATTTTGAGGTTAATTTTGGCAAATTTTAAATTTTTAGGTGTCTAAGGGTAATATCTTGAATTCATCTTATTTTATTTACAAATTTTAGAATTTTAGGGTGGCTTTTTTAATTTGAACTTTTAAAGGTGTTTCTATAATTTTTGAGATATTGAGGATGTTAATTAAAAAATTTAAATTTAAATGTCAAAAATTTTAGGTGTATCATGGTAATCTCTTGAATTCATCTGTGTTGTTTGTAAGTTTTAAAATTTTAGAATTTTAATGTGCTTGTCTGTAATTTAAACTTTTGAGGGTGTTTCTATAATTTTTGAGACATTGAGGTGTTAACTGTAAATTTTAAATTCTTTGCAAACTGATGTTAATTTTTTAATTTTATGTTTTTTATTTTAAGTTTTGAGACATTTGGATGAGTTTTATAATTTTAAACTTTTCAGGGTCTTTTCTGTAATTTTAAAACTTTTTATGGTTTTTTTTGTAATACTTCATGTATTATAATATGTTATCTACTTGTAATTTCTTTATCTTAACAAACTAATATCATTTTTATGTTTTATATATTTTATTAATATTAGTTTTTTTAAATTGTTAAGCTAAACATGGTTCACATAGGATTAGGATAAGATATGACTATGCTTAGGATAGATTAAGATATAAATAAAATATTCAAAATAGTGAAGGGTAATATTGACCATTGAAAATTAGGATTTGATTATAGATAAGATAGTTCAAACTATAAAGGGGTATATTTGTCTAAAAAAGATTTTCCGAACTCGTGCTTTTAAAGGGAGTATGATTAAGAAGTTGTCCCGGCCCCATATATTAACGTAAAGTAGCTAAGCGGCAGATGTCCATCTAAGCCCAGTCTCGCAAGCAGCGCAAAACATAATAATAATAATAAACCAAAGCTCCACTACCTAATTGAGAGGATATGAAGAGACAAATATCCTTAAGCACCTGCTCTGCTCTATGCATTTTAAGAAATCTCCATTGTTGAAAATTGGTGGAGAAATCACTACTATTATCACAACTATTGATTTCTTTAATAGATGATTGTTATTTTTCTTCGAG